TGAAGGTGTATCTCCACCTCAGGAATATGGGACATAAACTTTTCTCTATTTAGCTGATACGGTATGTTAATGGAAGAGACAAACACTGTCTCCCGTATTCTTACAAGTTCTTGTAGATATACACCTTTACTTGTATCTAATAATCTGAGTCTGGGAAAGAGCTGGGAGAGAGATTGTTTTATTTGGAGAGAGTCTGTCACTGACATTTGGGGGAGGGAGAAAAGTCGAACCAGGCTAAGGAGTTTTCAGGAAGAGAGTGGTTAAATCAGAAAAGATGACTAGCAAGCAAAGTGAACTTCTATTCAGTTTCAGACTGCTGAAGAAAATTCCTCCATGGTATAATTTCACAAAGAGGAGAAGGAAGGGAAGAAGACAGCCTGGGATGGGATCAAGCCTATCCAACATCAATTCCAAAGAGGCAGAAGCAGATGTGTAACTCAATGTTCTGCTGGACATGAGAGGTTGCCAGCTAGGTTTTAGTTCAACCTCTTGATTAATGCTGTTGGGAATTGAATAATAGCTATGTGCACAGTGATGGTCACACTTTGCACCCTCCATTCCTCTTGCAGAAAGGAGATAGGTAATCTTTATCTGATAAAGCACTTTAAGCCATATGTTAGCTTCCAGTTTCTTCTGAAGTTAGAAATGGGAAGAGGGAGTACTTATCTTCTTTAACATATGGCAGAACTATTTAGCAGAATGAGTCAACCTCTTGCAGAAAACAGTGCATTTACAATTATTAAATGTTACAGGTGAAAGGGGAAGAAAGAAATTGAACTGGTCCTTGCATACTGTCATTTGATCAGTTATGAATGCACCCACATGACCCATAACAAAGCTAAAAGAGAAAAATAACAAGAACTGTTTAAATGTTTCTAGGCATAGTTTTGATCATGATGATGGCAATCATGATGATGAAGATGATGATGGTGCCATCACTAAAACTACATTTAAAGGAAAATGCCACTGAATCATTAAAGTTAGTAAAAATAAATTATGAAACCCATAAAGATGAAGTAGGAGCCATATAAAATATCAGACAGTTTCCTCCATTGCAGTACTGGAATAGTGTTTCCAGTTTGTCTGAGATATATTAGCATGAACAGAGGGAAGGAAGCTATATGAGTACAGGCACTCAGTAAGAACCGTGAATCTTTGTGTCTTTAGCATCTGGAAAGGAATTTTGCTTTTTTTCCTTAACTTATCCCTTTTTAAGTATAGTATTTCTATGTAGGAGACATGCTCTATATCCAAAAGCAGAACGATATTGAATAAAAGATTTAATTTGGCGATTAGATTAGGTAGAGACTAATCTAGACACTTGAAACTTGTTAGTGTCCTTGAGACATTACCTTCCATGGGTGAAGTTTCAGAAGTTCCATAAATCTTACTTTGCCTCTTCTTGCTCTATGTTTGAAGGAATCTGAATGAGCAACATGCAATGCCTGTGCCAATATATAGATTGCATTGTAGATGCTGTAGCTGTGGCCTGTCATGTCCATTTCAGAAACAGATGCAGGGAGGGTCTCTAGCTTCTCCTCCCCAGTGCAGGTCGGTTGACTGTCCATCATGGAGTTGGGTTCCCCATCTACCATGGAGCCTGAGAACATACATCCAAACGCCTCCTTCCAGAAAACCCTAATAAAGCCATCTTCTTGACTGAAGTTTGGTTTTATTGTCTGAAGAAATTCTCGAAACCCAAGGATCTCTCTTGAATGAACTGCAAAGGATAGAGCACCATGGAGAAAATCTAGGTCTTCCCACCTCTGAAAGGGAAGAGATGCAAAATCCATCTGGGCTGTCATAATGATGATTTTACTATTTTCTTGTAATGGTATCTCTTCAAATTTTGACACAGTCGGAAACATTCTCATAACTATCATTACAACAATTTCACCTTGCACTAAGACTGAATTGACAGTGCTGTTCATGATAATAGTGTACGTTTCCATCCCTTCTTTCACCATATTGACAATGTCAGTGGAATAAGAAATGACTGGGGTTCTTTCGATGAAGGCAAAGCAGATCCCGCTCTTGGCAAACATTGGTACCACATTTTGTTCAAACTTCTCCCCATTTTCATTAGTCGCAGACACGACCCCAATCCACGTCCACTTAAAATGCTGTAGCAGCTGAAGAATTCCCTTATACTGATGGTCCGTATTAGGAAACATTTGGTGATAGAAACCAGCCTGTTTGTCCTTATTTGTTATTGGAGCAGAACCATACGTCAACTACAGAAATTATAGATGAATTAGGAAAGAAGACAATAGGCTTTGATTTTATAAAAAAGTGTATTAATATACTTTTCTAAATGTAGTGCACAAGTTAAGGCTTAGATCCATTTCATATTACCAGTTTTACATTTGGCAGTTGTGTCCCTCCAACACTTTAAAGCATAAGAGTTTAAGGGTTGTTTCGCAGAATTTTTCAATCTTTGCTTGTCTTAATTTTGCTCAGGGCTTTTGTGCCTTCCTATGCTTTATAAACAGAGCCATTTGGCTCAGTCTATTGTGGGATCTCAGAAAAGGACTAATTTAGTTATTAAGTATGTTCTGTGAATGCAGCCAGTAACATTTGGTATACCAGGAGTTTCTACACCCAGGTAAAGTGCACTAGGCTGTCCATCCACAATTACTCCCTAAGACTGAAGAAGGAGCAGCCATTATAAGTGTGTTTCATAGATTTGAAAATCAGGTGGAAAGAAAAATATGCCCCTTGATTTCAGTCAGTGTTTACTTTTTCCAAGTGATCAAGTCTTAGATAAAAGGAATGAGATACTTAATTGGTTTATATCTGTATTCTACATACATGGTTACCTGAGGAAACTTGTAGATGTGCAGAATGATGGCCACGTGAAGGCATACGTCAGTGTCAGGTCCTCCGATTATTGCTACTGGGTATTTCTGGATGTCGCAGTTGTAGTTAGGGATTAATCTGCCTTTAGATGAAAGGAGTTCCATTGACGCATGACACACCCATTTGGAAGCGAAATGACTGTCATAGATTTGGAAGCCAAGTGTAAGATTGGGTAAAATGTGGGGATTAGCATTGATCTCCTTGACAGCAAATACTAAAGTCAGGATGTGTTGGTAAATCTGAGTTATGACCCTGAAGAGAGAGATACATTTTCTGCTATAATACATTTAACTAAGAATATATTTATTTTGCCCTTCCTTTCTAGTAGAATATGAGGGGTTGGTCCAGTCTATTTATGTAAGACGTAACAGGTCTGATTCATGCTACTTGTTTAAACTAGTCAGCAACTAAACTAATCAATGCACTTTATTAGAAAGATAAGGCAGCAGCCAGAGTCACCAGGTTTCTTCCAGTCCTGCTTGGTATCCCATAATTTAGAAAGGTTAGGTATGTGAGTGATGCCATCACTTTTGATAGGGAGGCTACAGTGAGCATCAATCTGTGGGGTATATTGGCAATGGTTGTTGATAATGACATCAAAATGGAGTTTTTTGTCTTTCATCTTTTCTTCAATTCCATCTTTTCTCTGGAAAAAAAATGTACTTGGGAAGACTAGGACAACCCTCCATGTTAGTTAGGTTAGGATGTTCATCAAAACAAGTTACTAGGAAGGGAAATTTTGCTCCCAGCTCCCTTCATACAGGTTTCGTGTTGTGACAGAGGATGTGCTCCTTGCATACGTTTGGCGGTACAAAAATATAATTGAATTAAGTATATCGTATAATATCTCCAAAGAAAAGACACTGGCTTCTATAGGCCCAATTTAACACTGGTGAGATTCAGAAGAGAGAATGACAAAAAGAAATATACTTCTCTAACATTCTTTGCTTGGCACTGATGGCACCAGATAAATCAAACACATAAAGGGAGCAAACATGTAGAAGCTATAAAGGCCATAAAATCATAATGCATTGGCAAAGCCAGTATCCATATTAATATAAAACAAACACAACCAGCAATTATTTTATACCCTCAAAATAGCACACACTATTCTCGACATCCACACACAAGTTACACATGCAACACAATTCAAACAATGCTCTTACTCTCACTCACCTTCAGGTCTATTTTACATGTATCACCCTGGCATGACTGAATACTTACATAATATCCTCCAAGAGGTCACTAGAAGGAGGTGTGTTGAAGTCCATCATCATATAAAACTGGTAGCTCTGAGAAATGGTGCCAGCAATGTTGATGTCTCCTGACTGGTATTGCTTGTGAAGAATAGGCAGAGGATCAGCAGTGCTGCATTTACTGTGAGAAACGTTACACATTATCAGAGGCCAAAGCATTGACAGGAATGCTGTGGATACACCACCCAGAAAGAAACAATTCATTCTTGAAGTGATATCCCCTTTCTCCACCTTCCCTTCCCTTATGGATTCTGAGTTTAAGACACAAAGAACTACTTGGCTTGTGTGTGTGTGTGTGTGTGTGTGTCTGTCTGTGTGTGTGTGTGTAGAGCTTAGGAAGTTCAGACTTTGAGATAATAATCATGTGTGGTCAAGCACTGGCTAACTTCAATTGCAGTTGGGAATGGTGCAGGAGGTACGAACTGTTCTCAATCCGCTTGAGGTGGACAATCACAGTTATACTAATTATTACATTACTAATTATTACATTTGAGATAATCACCAATTTAGAATCCCAGGCCATAGGAAACTCTGAACAAGAAGAGGTATTTTGTTTGTTATGTCTCAAAAGAAATTGTCTCTGGTTGACATCGAGCAATACTGGGATTTGGAATGGATAATAGCAAGCCTGAAAATAGCAAGGATGGAAAAGAAAAAAAATACTGTCAGGAAAGTTGAAGTTATTTGCAACATTTGTATTTAGAATTTATTTATTATGTTTATTTATTATGTTTATATAGCCGCCCATCGCACACAAGGTGACTCTGGGTGGCGTACAACAATTTAAAAAATACATAAAAACAACTACATATTAAAAACAGTAAAAACACACAAAAAATGGAGGGGATAAAATATAATAAAATCATAAAATCTCCACAGTCCCTTGGGAAGCCCAGGCCTGATCACATAGCCAGTTCTTGAGGGACTTATGGAATGTTAAGAGGGATGGAGTTAATCTCACTTCTGGGGGGAGAACATTCCACATGGTGGGCACCGCATCAGAGAAGGCCCACCACCTGGGACCTGCCAAATGTAATTCTCTGGCATACGGGTTCCGCAGCATGCCTTCTCTACCAGGTCTGATGGGATGGGCCAATGTAACTGGGGAGAGGCAGTCCCTCAGGTAACCTGGCCCCATGCCATGAAGGGCTTTAAAGGTCAAAGCAGCACCTTGAATTGGACCCGGAAGCAAATTGGCAACCAGTGCAGCTCGCGAAGCTGAGGTGTGATGTGACTTGCCCTAGGGACATGCATAACTGCATGTGTTGTGTAATTTGCACCAGTTGAAGCTTCTGGATACTCTTCAAGGGCAGCCCCATGTAGAGCGCATTACAGACATCCAAAGGGCAGGTGACCAGGGCATGAGTGACAGTGATTAGGTCCCTCTGATCTAGTAATGGGCACAACTGGCACACACCACGAAGCTGTGCAAAGGCCCTCCCAGCTACCACTGCCACCTGTTCTTCAAGCAGGTGTCACAAGTCCAGGATAAATCTGTTTATCACCTTCACTGTGTACTCACAAGGAATATGATTTAAGTCATACCTGAGTGGTCTAGTGGTTTTCCCTACATTCTTAAATTTAAGCCTGAATTTTGTAATGCTCAATACAAAAGCTCATGATCTGAGCCACAGTCAGCTCCTGGTCTTGTTTTTACTAACTGTATAGAGCTGTGGCTGGTGTGGGTCTTCCGGGCTGTGTGGCCGTGGTCTTGAAGTCTTGTTTCCTAA